CACGTCGAGGATGTTGCTCACCGTGGAGCGCCCTTGGATGAATCCGCGCTGTTCGTCAGCAATCAACGGCCCCAGTGCTGGCTCGACCAGGAAATGGCGCGCGCTGGCGAGAAGCCTATTGTCGGTGTTCGTTATGTTCAAGGGCCGGACGCCGTCCAGGTCGAAGAGGTCATCGCCGTGCTCCGTTGTCCCGATGGCTTTTTTTCTGGAATAAAATGAGGATGCTCGCATTGAAATCAGGGCACTCAGTGGCCAGCCTATCTGGGGCGTCGTCCTCGCAGAACTCAAAGAAAGCGTCATGGAATATGTCCACAGCAACATTCTCCACGCGGCGCCAGGCGGCTCATGGTATTCCATCTGGGCCTGGAGCGGAATTGTTGGACGTCTTGATCGCCTTTCTGATGTGCCGTTTTTGCAGCCGGAGTCGGTGCAGGTCGTCATGAAGTGGCCCATGTTCTGCTCGATGCCCCGCATCTTCAGCCAACCACCGGTTCAAGAGATCTGCATTGAACCCTCTGGCCGCGAACACCTTGCTCCAATGCGCGCCGAGCGCCTGCGCCATGGCGGCGGGGTCAGTCAAGTGCTCGCCCGAGTCCGATCGTACAGCGCATGCGCCTCCTGACTTGCCAGGGAGCAGCCGGTGGAGTAGCTGCGTCGCGCGCTGTCGCCTTCTTCGCGCTATGTGGTCGTTGCCGTCCTTGGCCTCCTGGCTGGCCTTGCCAAGCTCGTCGAGGCTGTGTTCGTGGGCCAGTTCGACAGCGTGGTCACGTACAGCTTGAAGACCCCGCGTGGTGTGGTGTTTGATGTCGCACGGGTTCGGCAGCAGCTCATGTAACCGCGGGTAGCGAGCCAAGCACGTCGTGAGCGTGCCCATGGAGCCCGTCTCGGCGGCTCGGAGGAAACGCATCGTAACCCCCAGCCGGTCTTCCAACTGGATCGCTTCGTCCACGGCTACCGGGAGCTTCGAAAGGTAGTGCCCCACGTGCTTCATGGCCGCTTTCAACATCTGAAACTTGGCGATACTAGATGCGTCAGGATGTTGGGCCGCACGGTGGTAGTACTCCAGCCGCACCTGCCTGGCGAAGTCCACGTGATGGATCTGGTCGTCGGTGAGGGGGCGCTCTCGCTCAGGGAGCCGGTGCGGCAGACGGCGGGAGAAGAGCACTGCCCGGTGGTCCGAAACATGCGGTTTCCACTCCAGGGCTATGGCCTTTACTTCTCTGTCCAACTGTTCGACCACGTGCTGCTTGCAATAAATGCGGTCTAGCCGAGAACGGGAACATTGAGACGCATAGGTCATCGAAGGCTGGTGCATTTCGTGCAGCCCGAAACGCCGCCCCAACACTGCTTGGAAGTGGCTTTCTTCCCCGTGGTCACGGTGGCCAGTGCAGCTGGCCTCGCCGCAAGAGCGCCGGTCCGCCGCATCCGGGACCCAATTGAAATCCTCAGAGAACCGTCAGCGTCGTGTTCGGGTCGGCAACGCTATGGCTCAAGCGGTTGCGAAGGAGTTCCCGCAGGGCCGGGAAGGATGTGCAGCGCGGCCGTTGCTCGTCGGGGACTCCGTAGAGGTCGACCTCCTGGACAGTAGCCCCTGTCTGAAAGTAGCTGACTATAACATCAAGTGCTCCTTCCCGTCCGCGGAGAGACAAACGCGCAGCCCGTCCTGGCCAAAGCACCTGCCAACGAACGGTGTCAAACTTGTCGACAAACTGGGTCTTCGCGATGAGGCCAACCCCCGCCTGGCCAGTGGAGGAGCCTGCAGACCACCAGGCGGTGGCACCTCGAGGAGGCGACCATGCCTTGTGCTGTCCAGGAGTGCCGGGGGCCTCGGTGATCAAGAGAATGTCGCAGCGGGTGAGGAGAGCCGACGCATATCTAGACTTGGCGGCGTGACGGCCGTCGTCACTTGCAAAGAATGCCTGAGCGTTCCACGTGGCAATCTTCAAATCCCCGCGGTACTGGCCCGGGCGCATCTGCGAAGAGCAAGCCGGAGGAGCAGGCAAGGTGCGTGCCGGGGACAGCACTCGTTCTCTACCCAGCAGCCCAAGTGCGCGATGCAGTCGCTGCCGGCGGTATATGTGCACAGGCACGTCGTCCAGGCATCCCCGTGCTATCGTAGAAGCTGGAACTGGTAGCAGGTCGAACTCGCCGAACACAAAAACCGGGAGGCGGGGCAACAGCCGAAGGTCGTCGGAGACGTCGAGGGGTGGAGGCGCCGAGGGAGATGAAGTTGAAGATGAAGTTGAATTCGAAGATGAAAATGAATACCCAGATACATAAACTGATTGACGTGCGTCCCCGCGGTAAGGGTGAGAGCGAACATGGTGGCTCCGGCGCGGCCCCGCCGAGGTGGGGAGGAGCTGGATCACGATGTCGAGCAGCCACCCAGATGTACCCGCTGACGTCCAAAACTGAATTCCGTCGTGCAAGACATGACTGGCGGGGGAACCTAGTCAATGGCGGCGCCGTGCCGCAGCTCCTGGAACGCCCTCTGCGTCCAACACGTCATTGGCAACCCGGAAGCCGATGTAGTCCGCTCCCACCTGAACAGATTGACCATGCAGCGCTGCGCGAACCTTCCGAACCGCCTCCAGGTCGGGGAGGAAGAGGCGCAGGCGCCCTGGCGGGGCCGCCGAGTCCGTTCTGGCAAGATGAACATATTCTCCAAGCTTGGGCGGTCGACTATAGTCGGTCTCGCAGAGGGACAAGCCCGTGGCGCCGCAGACGTGCACCATGATCAGCTTGAGCACCTCGCCGTCCTCCTTGCCCAATTCCCCCATCGCGATCACGTCCGTGATGTAATCCATGTCGGAGCTCTTCTTGGTGCCGCGGCGGCGGCTGGCCGCCAGCGACTCCGAGGTAGCCGAAGGCATCGCTATCGTTCTACCGCCATTGCGGGACGCCCTCCACTTTAGCCGGAAGGACGTCTCCGAAGTATCTTCCCGGAGGATCGCGTCCATGGTGGATGTCCACTGGGGGGCGGCCGTGTCCGTGTACACCAAGAGCTTGGTACGCGACAGTGCCAGCATCTGGGAACAGTGAGGCCAGAAGCGGATCAAGTTGCTCGGAGAGGAGACTTCCAGGATGCAGGAGTCGGCGGCGCTGTAGATGCCCTGTTGCGCCCAAAAGGCATCAGCGGGCAGCCCTGTGCGACGGAGGCGATGGAAAAGAGCTTGGATGTAGAGATCGGTGAAGCTCGTCGGGAAGAGGACGTCGGCACACCCGCGGGATGACGGGCGTGCTCAGGAGACTGCGCCTGTGTTGACGCAGCGTGGCACCCATGCCCTCCACACCGCGCAGCAGCAGCGCGTAGACTTGTGGAAGGTCCTCTGCGCGAAGGTCGATCGTGGCCGCCATCCTTGCTGGAAGCTGCATTAGGGGAGTGCACGGGAGGTGGATCTGAGGGGCCGTCCTTGGACCCTCGTGGCCGAGATGAAAGATTGCCAGCCCGGCGTGCTCCAAGCGTGGGCCCGAAGCGCCGCTGGTGATCATTTCCATGGGCAGAGGTGTCACCGAGCACTGTCGGACAATAGGGGCCCATTTCGCCGCCAGGAGGGGGTGCCACCACAAGTCGGCGATCTTGGTGAAGTCGCTCATGCCTGGCAGCAGGCCGACGGAGGTCACCATTCGGCACGACAGCGGCCGGCGCCCGGGGGGGCGGCGCAGGAAGGAGGCCAAGCAGCGTGTGAGGGCGTTGTTGTCCTCAGGGGCCCACAAGACCACGTGCTTGCCCTCGCACCAGTCCCAGAGCGCAGCGTCACCCTTCTCGGCCAGCGCAGCGATGCCGCGCGAGTCCGCCACCATCGCCTCCGTCAACATGCTCGCGCGGAGAAGATTGGACCATTGGGTCAGAATCAGAGGGGCGGAGCCCTCCGGGGTGGGCTGGTTGAGGATCTGTATGGCAGCCTCGCCCAGCTCTTTGAAGAGCGGCACCTCCGGGAGCTTCAGTTTCTTCCGCTCCCTCATGATGTCAGGCAGCTCCTCTTCACAGTGGCGAGCCGCGTTCGCGATCTTGCTGGTGAAGTGCTGCGCCGCGTCCTTGTCGGAGGCCGGCCAGGCCACCTGGGATGCAAGGCCGCAGAGCATGCGGGCCGCGCGCTCCCGTGCCGCGATCGTCAGCAGGGTGGGTGCGGGTCCGGACATCATCGACATCCCCAGGGTGCGCCATGGGTCCTCGGAGTTCGTGTCGTACGCGAGCGTGTGGAGGAGCTGCTGGAGCGTGTCCCAGGACGCGGGGAAGCTGATAGCCAGCTGGGCGGACTCAGCGGCCGCGTGCACCAGGTCGAAGCGCTGCAAGATCTCCTGCTCCACGAACTCCTTCAGCAGCACGCGCCCGAGGGCGACGGTGCAGCCCAGTCCCACGCCATCGTGCGCTGTGGGGGGCTCGATGGCCGTGCGGGCCGCGGGGGGCGGTGGCAGCCCTGGGGCGGGCGGCGCGGCCCGCGTGCCGCTCATCGTCATCCCGGCAGCGGCCTGCGTCAGCCCGGTACCCTCCTCCAGGTCCTCCTCCATGTCGTCAGCGACGGCTGGGGCTGCCGCGTCTGGGCCGGCGGCGGCCGCGGCGGCGCCCGTGGCGGCCACGGCAGGCACGGCGCAGAGGGCGGTCCCGGCAAGCGCCGGGGCGTCCACGCCTCCAGCGAGGCACGTGGCGCACCGTCCGGCCATGGCGGCAGCACTGGCAGCGGGTGCGGAAGGGCAGGAGGGTTGAGGTGGAGAGAGAGGGCAAGGGCCACACCCCACCCTTGGCAGGGCTCCTGATCGGGGCTCTTCGGCAGAATGCCTTGAGCCAGAATGCCTTGAGCCAGAGACATCTATATATATATATAGAGTTAACATAATAACAAGAGAGAGAGAGAGAGACCATAGCGAGAAGAGAGGACGGAGTGCACGGGCGCGAGGGACTGGGGGTGAAGACTTGGAAGATGGAGGAGGCAACGGAGACAATACATAATACGTTCGAGTTCGAGCAGCTACCATGTCCAGATATGCCACGGCAGAGCGAAGGAATAATTCAGGGCCAGCAGCATTTGGTTAACTGCCTCGGCGGCGAGCGCTTCGTTGAAGATCTTGAGCTCGATTACGCGATCGAATAGCTCCCCTCCCTCCATGCACTCCATGACGAGGTGCAGGTAGTCTTCGCAATCGTAAACCTCGTACAACCGAGTAACATGCGGATGGTCCATGCACAGGAAGACCTCAACCTCCGACCTGAGCTGCTGTCGCTTGTCATCACCAATGTTGAATAACTTGAACGCCTTCACAGCATACTTGAGGCCGTCAGGCTTGCCTTTCTCTACCGCCATCTTGACCTCGCCATTAAAACCTGAGCCCAGCACCGTGTCGAGTACTTTGTAGTCGTCCCGAATGTCTCTGGAGAAATGATAGCGGCCAGAGATGGCGATCTTCCCAGACTTCCTCCCGAGCTTCTCCAGATCACTCATCGAATCGGCCCTGCGAGCATGCGGCTTGTTGTCGTTGCCTTTGTTGGAGCTGAAGCGCCTCACGATGCCATTTCCCATGATTTGGACGCCCGAGTTATCCGGGGTAACTCGGGTCCGGGGTAACTCGGGTTTGAGTTCCCGAAAAACGAACCCGAGTTATCCCTGACCCGAGTTATCCCTGATGATTCGGGGCTCTGGACGCCCGAGTTATCCGGGGTAACTCGGGTCCGGGGTAACTCGGGTTTGAGTTCCCGAAAAACGAACCCGAGTTATCCCTGACCCGAGTTATCCCCGATGATTCGGGGCTCTGAATGATCTCCCTGCGCTGGCGCCCTGGCCGACCGACCGCCGGCCCCTCGGCCGAAAACCTCGGTGCCCTGCCGCGCCGCAGCCTGAGCCGGAACGGCGGAGCGCGTGCGGCTCCGGCCTCCGAACACCGTCCGCCAGCCTCGGGAACTGCGACACGACCAGGGGTACGGTCAAAAGCCCTAAGAGGGACGCGCGGCAAGGACGCAGGGCCCCTGGAAGCCGAAGTCGGATTTTTTGGGGCGGCGAGCGACGAACACCTCCGGGACGCAAGCGCGAGGAAGAGCAAGGACGCAAGGGTACCCAGAGCAAAGTCGCGCGCCCTTATTAAGGTTTTTGACTGCAGGTGCCTCGCTGGCACCGTCAAGCTCCAGACCGCCCCCCGCCCGCGCCTGAAGACCTGCGTGCTCGGCGACGCGGCGCACCGCGAGCAAGGCGCAGCGCGCGGGCATATCCTGCTCCAGAGCGTCGGCGACCTAAAGATGGGGCATGGCGTTGAGAGCGACGACGCTCCCGACGCTCGGGTCGGGCGAAAGGGGGGGATAGCAAAGAGGGGGGGGTGAGAATCAGCTCACGTAGCTGATTTTCCCGGCGCCTCCCGGCGCCGGAGGCGGCCATGTATCGAGGAATGGGCCCCTCGTTGGGGCCGAAAACAGCTGCATGCAGCAGATTTCGTAACCCCCCCTTTCCCAATCCCCCCTTTCGTTCGGCCCGACTGTTCCAGAGCGTCGACGACCTAAAGAGGGCCATGACGTCGAGAGCGAAGACGCTCCCGACGCCGTTGCAGTTTCGGAGAGCCGGCCGCGGGAACCACCGAGGGCTCTCCTGGCGTCTCCGAGGCAGAGACCTGGCCGAGACCGGCGCGCGCCCCCCGAGCGCTTTGCTGCTCCGGCACCCCGGCCGGCGCCGCCATGCGCCCACGCGGAGCGTGCCGGCACGGCCCGTCGCCGAAGCGAAGGGCAGGCTCGTGGCGTGATGGCGTCGGCGCTGGTGTCGGACGCCGCGTGGCTCCTCCAGCCTTGAGCCATCGAGGCTTCGCGACAACGCAGATCGCTCGATGCCGGCGCGCCGTGCCGCGTCGCGCGCGTGCCGCGTGCCTGCCGCGTGCATGCCATGCCGTTGCCGTGCCGCGCCGCGCGCTGTGCCGCGCCGCGGGATCGGCGGCACCAAAGGCTGTCGCCGCGCCGCCTGTGCTCGACGCGCCCGAGCCTACGACAGCGGCACCTACCTAGGGGAACAAAGAATGGCATAAACATAAAAAACTCGGAGGTCCGCGCGGATTTCTCGGATCGGCGCTGGGGCCCCCCGGCGGCGCCTCCGGCGCCGCCCCGGGCGCGCTCCGCGCGCCAGGGAGGGGGGTCCAGCGCCGATCCGAGAAATCCGCGCGGACCTCCGAGTTTTTATGTTTATGTCACTTTTTGTTCCCCTAATCACGGCAAGCCTACGGCAAACCCTTCGGGATGATCGGCACAAGTACGGGAAGAATGGCCACGATACCCAACGGCGGTCCCTGCTCATGTTGCACGGGACTCGCCGCTCGCGCCCCCGCGGACGTCACTCTTGGAAGACAGGCCGCCTGCCCTGCAGCGGCCGCTGTGGGTTTTGGACAATATTTGTTGTTGGGCAGTGTGCCCACTTTTTCCGTACCCATGTCGTGCGTCCAAAACCCTGCGTCCCGCGCCCCAGGCAGGAGAGGAGGGCGCCGCGGCAAACCCCACGGCAGACCCGCCGCGCGCGAGGCGGCGCTTGCCCTGGTGCCGAAATGCCCTCCCCAGAACGTAAGGCCGCGCGTCGGAGCAAACGGCGCGGCGACATCTGCACCAGGATCTGTCCTAGGGCTCCCAACTTCGCGCTTCGCGCTCCGCGAAGCGCGAGGCGCGAATAACTTCGCGCTCTCGCGCCGCCCCCCCAAAGGGAGAAGAGGAGGACGAGGAGGAGGGGGAGGAGGAACGAGGACCGCGAAGCGCGAAGCGCGAATACCTTCGCGCCCTCGTGGGAGCCCTTGGGGCTTGCGCCAAAAGCTTCGTCATAAGCCCCCCCGTGCCCTCCTACCGTCAGGAACTTTTCCGCTCGGCGAGCCGCGCGCGGCGGCCCCGGCGACACGCTGCACTCCCTGCGAGGTAATGGCGTGCCGCCTCCTCCTCCTCCCCTCCTCCCCTCCTCCTCCTCCTCCTCCCCTCCTCCTCCTCCTCCTCCTCCTCCTCCTCCTCCTCCTCCTCCTCCTCCTCCTCCTCCTCCTCCTCCTCCTCCCTCCTCCTCCTCCTCCTCCTCCTCCTCCCTCCTCCTCCCTCCTCCCTCCTCCTGCGGGGCGGGAGGCTGGGCAAATCTCGGGACACTGGTGCTTGGCGACCTGGGGCGTGGGCAGCGCGTCGCGCCGGAGCGCGGTGGGCCAGCACCTCCCCATCGCTCGGACGTCCATTCCCTGTGCCTTTTTGTCGGTCCCGTGCGTGGCTTTTTCGCGGGGTGCTCCAGGATGCTCCCTAGGAAGCCCCGCCGAGAGAAAACGCACACGTCCGAGCGATACCGAGGCACACTGGCGGCGCGGCACGCCGACCAGCCATGGCCCGACCGCAGTTCGTCGCGCCGAGCCGTGGTGGGCCAGAGCCAGCGGCGCGACACGTGGAGCCGAGGCCCCGACCGTGCTCCCCAGCGCAGCGCACTTTGCACCAACGTCGGGAGCGGCCAAGAGGGGGGTGTCCAGGAGAGGAGGGGGTGCAGATCGTGACCCGCGGCATATGTGCGCGGCCCAGCGGGGGGGGCCAGGGACGTCATGAAATATAAGAAGGGGCGCCGTGAAATCTGGGGAAATATCATGGCCCCCGCCATGATATCCCCCCCCCCCCCTAGTCATCACCCCCCTCTTGGCAAGGGCTCCCTCGAGGGCGCGAAGTTATTCGCGCTTCGCGCTTCGCGGTCCTCGTTCCTCCTCCTCCTCCTCCTCGTCCTCCTCTTCTCCCCCTTGGGGGGCGGCGCGAGAGCGCGAAGTTATTCGCGCTTCGCGCTTCGCGCAGCGCGAAGCGCGAACTTAGGAGCCCTTGCTTGGCCGCCCCTGACAATGGTTGGCATCGATCGGCGGCCTGTCAAGGCCAGGCCGCGCCCTGCCCGCGTCCAGCAGGACGTCCACAGGCAGAGGGCGCCCTGGCGCCCCTCTGCTGGGCCGTGGCGGCCCAACGACCCTCGTCGCGCGCGCGTCCCAGGGTGCCCATCACAGCTTGCAGCCTGCCTCAGAGTCTCCTCCTCCTCCTCTTCCTCCTCCTCCTGCGCCTTCCCTCCCCCTCTCGCCCCTCCATCCCTACTCGTCGTAAATAGCTCCTCCCTGTTACGCCCCAAGACGTGTCTGTAGAGCGGGCTGGGCGTTTTGCCTGAGACTTCCTCACCATTTATGCTCCTGAAGCTTCAAAGTTTGCAAAGGCCTCATGAATGGAGGTCGGGCCGTTTTCAAAATACGGCTCTCGTCTTAGCGCCGCGCACGTTCGATTCGCTGTTTAAAAGTTGTAAGAGTGTTTGCAGATGGAGAGCGGGTGGTTTTCAACATATGTCCCTCGCCGTAGCGCCGCGCACATCCGTCTTAGAAGTTTGCAAAGAGTTCCACGGATGGATGGCGGGTCGTTTTCAAACTGTGGCTCTCGCCTCTGCGCCGTGCACGTTCGTCTTCAACGTTTCCAGCGTATTCAAGCATTCACATGGATGACGTTTCAGGAACGGTTCTCTGGCACGATTTAGAATTGCCAGGTCGCATCAGCAAGTTGGTTCGAGGTGTTGGAATCCCAGGCATGGTGTTCTGGCAGGATTCAGGGTTGTCAGGACGTAGCAATGATGTTGATTCGCAGCGTTGGATTCCCAGCAGTGCTGTTTTCGACGGACTGGGGATTCTCAGGCGGTTGCCTTCCAATGGAGCACTTCCTGCAGTGAAACTAATTTCTGGCAGGGGCCTATACAGAGGGAAATCGAGGGAGTGATTCTTGCAACATCGTTGATGCGTCTTGGGTTTACGCTGTTCCTCCTCCTCCTCCTCTTCCTCCTCCTCCTCCTCCTCCTCCTCCCCTCCTGTCCCTCCTCCTCCTCCGCTCCCCCCCTCCTCCCCCCCCATTGTTACTCCTCCTCCTCCTAGTGCGCTGGCGCTGTAGGCAATGGGCCCGGCTGTCGGAGCTGCCACGCCTTCTGCTCCTGCTGGGAGGAGCTTCTGCTGCTCCTGCTGCTCCCGCTGGTTCCTCTTTGGACGCCCGAAATGGGCACGGAAACAATGGGCACAATGCTCAACAGCAAATGTTGCCCCAACCAACAGCGGCCGCTGTTGGGCAGGCGGCCTTTTGCCTCGAATGGACACAGGCCGCGGCGGCGCGGACAGCGAATCCTGTTCAAAATGAACAGCAACTGCTGTTGGGCATTGTACCCGTTCTTTCCGTACCCATTTCGTTCGTGCTGATCCTCCTCTCCTTCTCCTCCTCACACTCCCCATTTTTCCTCGTGGCACCGTCGAGGCCCCGAGAGGCCGCCAGCGGGCCCTGGCGCCCTGCGGGCGGCAGGAGGCAATAAAACTCACCTCTCGGCGTGCAGGGGCGCCGCCCCGCCACTTGTGGCCAGCCCTGCACCGCACTGCTGGTGGCGACGAGGACGGTGCTCTTGAAGGGGCCCCAGGACACATAAATACATACACACAAATAAAAATACGCCCTATATTTCCCCATATTTTTCCCCAATCAGAGCTTGCCTCTGTAGGGGTCCTAGCGGATTAAAAGGTTAGGTGAGGTTTGTCGCCGATTTCGGTGGCCGGGCCGGGGTGCCCGGGTGCCGGGGTGCCTGGCGGTGCCCGGGTGCCCGGGCGGCCGGTGAGGTGCGTTGCCGATTTCGGTGGCCAGGCCCGGGTGCCCGGGTGCCCGGGTGCCCGGGTGCCCGGGGGTGCCCGGGGGTGCCCAATAGCCCAATAGCCAAGCAGCCCTATAGCCCTACAGCCGTATAGCACTATGGCCCCATAGCCCTAGAGCCCTAGAGCCCTATAGCTCTACAGCCCTATAGCCCTATAGCCCTATAGGTCTATAGCCCTATAGCCCTAAGGTTGGTTCTATAGCCCCTATAGCCCAATAGCCCAATAGCACTATACCCCATATAGTCATATAGCCTACATAGCCCCATTGCCCCAACAAAAATCTGATTGGGGCTTTTCTCCGGTATCATCTGGATTTTTGTCTTCCCCCCCACTTCCCATATTTTCGAATATTTTCTGCGGAACCGACGGTTAATTGTGTCTGTGTGTTTATTTCCCTCCTGACTGCTGGTGGCGACGAGGACGGTGCTCTGCCCGCCCCCGAGATCGGTACCTGGCGAAGCCCGCCCGCGCGACGGCCGAAGAAACCACGGCGCCCAACCCGCTGTAACACAGCCGTTTTTTTTGGTCGGCGGGGCGAGAGCGAACCTCTTCCGCTAAAAGCTCGGCGGGCTGCGCGCAGCTGTAATTAGGGAGACAGGGCACAGGCGGGCGGGGCCTCAGGCGCCCGGAGTGGGCGGGGCCCGGGGTGCAGGCGGTGCCGAAGAGCTTGCACGGGAAAAGGTACGCCGCGGACAGGGACCGGAGGCGAAGATCCGGAGGGTGAGCGATGTGGTGTTCCAGCTGCTGTAACACAGCCGCGCCATAAAATACGGTGGGGGCACGAATACTGGGTCAACTCAGACCCCCAACCGGCTCCAAGATGTGGCGGCACCGATCCTCTTGTACCTCAGGTGGATCTTTTTGGAAGCTCATTCAAACACATACTGCCTCGGCTTGATAGCCTTTAGTGGCCTTCAGCGGCCTGTCGTGCATCATTAGCAGCCTTTAGTGGCCGTGAGTCGCCTTTCAGCAGCCTGTAGTGGCCTAGCAGCCTTTGGCAGCCTTTAGTGGCCTTCAGCGGCCTGTAGTAGCCTCTACAGAAGTGC